GCGTGGTGTAGCGTTGGTGGTTGGCATTCAAAAAAGTAGATTAATTAGATTGGTGTTGGTGGGATGGTGGAGCTAACCGAGGTGAAACTTACTACGTATTAGAGTACTAGTACCCATGTGTCAGATTGTGATGGTTTATCAAAGATGGGTAAAACAATTGGTTGGTGAGTGATTGAACACGGTGATCCATGTGCGCTGTCTGATCTGACTAATCCACAGAATCCGGGTGCCCGATCCACACCCGGATTCTGTCCACCACCCAATATATGCCCATATTCTGACACCATGACTGTATTACCGGCACCCCTGTTAGCAATTACTTTTAACAACTACCTACCCATGACTAGAGTATGATAACTATCAATAACAGGACAGCAGGGAGTATTACAATTCTGAGAATTAACGCAGTATATCGCACGTAAAAGTTAGCTCAACACGTCTTACGACTTAATAGTACTTTAAAAGCAGCGCCAATGCCAGTAAAGCGTTAACTGCAGCGATACAATGGCGGCGAAAGGCGACATAGCTTACCCCGCTACCTTAGTATACTATCTATGGTTTCCTGTTATGTATTTGCTTATGAGCTTATATCTTGCTTACCAAAAAGACGCTTATCCTTGTACAACACCTGCATACTTGCCCGTCATCCCATAACTTTATTCTAGCTTATGCTTATGTATATGTATTTATTACTGTTCTTGGAAAACTATAGTTATAATAGATGGGTTTCATCCTATACGCTGTTAGAAAACTATGATAATTGTTTAAATTATAGAGCATTTTCACCGAACAGTATATCGATTGTAACCGCAAGTTAACTTAATAAAGATAGGTTTACTATATTTGGAAGCACTATATTCATTCTTTAGAAATGGATACAAGTCGAATTGAGGCCGTGAAAAAAGATCGACTCGAGGATGTTATGGAGCTACTTAATAATGGAGCAGATGTAAATTCTACAGACAGCCGCAAGCGTACCCCTCTCTATTATGCTGCAAGAGGAGGGTCTCTAGAACTAGTAAAAGAAATTCTTGGGAGAGGAGCTGAGGTAAACAAGAAATGTAGGTACGATATGACGGCACTACATGCGGCTTGCCAATTCAAATCCTCTCCACCCAACGACAATATCGCCGTTGTCAAGTTGCTACTTGCCAAGAAAGCAGATATCGATGCACGAGACNGCGCACCCCCTTATACTTCGCCTCAGAAGGAGGGCACTTGCAGCTAGTAGAAGCACTGCTCGAGGAAGGTGCAGATGTTAACCGTAGGTGTGGTCTACATGGCACAGCACTTCAAGCAGCTGTAAAAAAAGAGAACCGTCAAATGGTAGAATTGCTCCTCAACAACTCAAAGACCTTTGTTAACAGTTTTTCTTCTGAAATTGGCACGGCGCTTAACACCGCTGCATGTACTGGTAATTTGAACATAGTGAAGCTCCTACACGAGAAGGGCGCTAACATTAATCCTCCTGTAATGGATGCAATTTGCCCACTCATACAGGCAACCAGCCGAGGTTATACAGAAGTCGTCGAGTTCTTTCTGGAAAATAGGGCTATTGTCAACGCGTATGATAGTGACACTACAGCACTTGGCTCCGCATTGTTTCAAGGTCTTATGGGCATAGCCAAACTTCTTATCGAGTATGGAGCGGACGTTAATGCTGTACACCAGGGTGAGACGGAGTTACAAACATGTACACTGATTGGTCATGATAAATCTGTGGAATTCTTACTTAACCATGGAGCCGACATTAATGCTGGATATAAGAACAATATGTCACCCCTTGAGATAGCGGCAAAGGCGGGTTACACGAAAATCGTACGGCATCTGCTAAAGAGTACTACCGAAATTAAAAATCTTAAACCAGCCATGAAAAGTGCTGAAAAGTGCGGAAACAATGAAATTGCTCAACTATTGAGGGATTTTATTCGTGGAAAGAGTGGTGCCCTTTCCTGATCACTGGCAAAAACAGGGGTAACGTCAATCTCTGTGACCTAGGACGCACCCTACCCCCCCTTCTCCCCTCTAGTGCGCACCCGTCCGTGCCTCTAACTAGTTACTTGGCTTAACACCCTGCTCTCACATCTCTTACGTAGATACCTAATACGCGATAGAGTATAGTCGTGCTATAAATAAGCTACTTATAATAAATTTCCATTATCTCAATATCTACCTATACTAACGTAGTTGGTAACATGTTTGGTAATTACCTGATTTAAGTAATTACTTCTTTAGACTATAAAACTAGATGTATGTTGTGGTGTAGCATCACATGATTATCTCGCGGACATATGTTGTAATTAACTGATATTTCTTCGTATGTAGTCAGATAACCTTTGGCTACCTTTTTTCAGTTCATTCTTTGGCAGCGATTAGATTTCAGATTTGTTCTACCAGCTCATTTGAGGGTCGCCCCTCTGATCTTTTGAGCTCGATCACGTATCGTGTCACATTACAGGCACATTGCGCATCGAAGAACATAGTGAAGCAAGAGTGAAGCTTTCATTATGGTCTTCATATATGTAGCAACTCGACAGATACAATTCAGATGAAATTCTTTTGGCAAATCAATGGCTTGTTGCCTGGCTACACAATTCACCTCTTTAAATCTGGTAAACCGGGGAACTGACGTTAATTATCTTCGCCTCCCTTCCATTTCATTTTACATACCTTTAAGAATGTAACTCTATGTCCACGGCTAGTGTACACCCTTAAATCACTCTACTGAATACCTTTGGATTCATTCTTTCCCAACAGGTTATGCAATATTCAAGAGACAGTAGACGTATATTCTCTATTAGACCACCATAAGCAATATGCGAGAGTAACTATTTTCGAAGGTTTGAGTATCCATTCAATAGAAAAGCAGGTAGTGAAGCGAGCCAGGTGTCTGCTGTCGGCAGACCTCCTCGACCTCCGTAGATATACTATGCATAGTTGATTCTATGATACTAATTTTTGATCACATTTGGGCTACTGAAGCCTGTCTATTGCGTGGAAACGATATTTAGATATGATTGATTTAATTTTACTTGCATAGGGTGATACTCCACTCTGTCAAGCCAACATATCCTGACCGCAACCTGTTATTCACTTCTCGCAAGGCAATGTATACGATTGTTACCGTACCCATCGAAGCATTCAGCATAAGCAGATAATTCATGACTCGATAGCACCACGGGGGTTCTTGGAATTGACTCGGCATGGAGCTCGGAGCAGTAGTTATGCGTTCGATTCGGGTCAGCCTCGCTCTGTTGACAGAAGTGGTAGTAGTGATGAACCTCGAAAGCTAGGTTTCCAGCATTGCTACTTAATTCTGAGATCTTTCGCAGTAGGTGTTCTAGTAGACGTTTGCTTTCGGCACATTTCGGTCTCCTACAAATCTGTCCACTCCACCCTGTTTCAAACTGTCGATAACGTCGATAATATCAATTTTTTTTCGTAATCTTAGAAGAATGACTAGTTGGTTAAAGCCTGCAGTCTTATTTGATCTGCCTACGTTGCGAGTCTGGCCAATTTCCCTCTTTTCGACAGCACGCTTAACGCCTGCCTCTCGAATGTTTTAAGCTTCCAAGGCAGAAGAGTTCGAAAGAATCGCATGATTGCTCTCCTTCATTGAAGATCAACCAGAGGCGGGTAGGTGGCGTTAACGTTTTGTCTCGGGACGTGATCCTACGCCGTACTGATTGTGCTTAAATTCCAGTAAGCACTGCTTGCTGCTGTCTGGATATTTCGTGTGCAATAACTTCCTGAATCATTGATGCTTCATTATCGCCTGCTCAAAACCGTTACATAGGCGATCCGGGTAAGAAGTGAGATAGGTCTTGTTACAAGTGTGGAACAGCTTCTAGAAAACACTGTGATAGCAAGCTCAGAACAGGTTTGGATTTTGCATAGTGCTATCGAAAAAGTGATAAGGAAACATGTAGAAGTCAACAAAAGCTAGGTAGTATAAAACATGTAACTCTCAAATAATGTACCAATAATCCACTCTGTTGTAGGTGCGCCTAAGCCGGCTTCTCTAGCATCTTGAATGATGAAAACTATGCTTCTATTGACGGGGGTTGAGGGGAAACCGGCGGAGACGGAATGGCCCTCTTCAATAAAGCTATATTCTTGCCTATATCATCGTGTAGGAATTGGAGCTTCTGAAAAATCTTTTCGACTCCGATACCGCGATGTGTTTCCCCAGACCCTTCCTCAAGTTTGGTTTTTAGCTGGAATACTCGACCAGCGAGTTTAGAATTCATTTCCTTCATACTCTCCCACTCTTTGGCAGGGACGGTTATGAATTCATCGGAGGCTTTTCTCTTGAGTCCGGATTTTGCAGAACGTTGCTGCACTCCAGTTTTTAGTCTCTTAGAAGCCTGTTCAATGGCTTCGTCCTCACTCGTTTCGATCGGATCGGACCCGATTTCGGTATCAGATACATATTCCCTTTTCTTAGATTTGTTAGAAAGCTCTGAGTGCAGAACAATGCTTGATACCTAACTATAAGATTTTAGGAAATTGTACATACCTGCGGTGGAGTGTGACGAGGCAAGCGTCTAGACGCTTTGCTTGAGCCAGATTGCGGAATTTCAGCCGAAGAATACATGTTGAAGAGGTGAAGAGAAAGAGTTATGATGGTTGGAAACCGTTGCTAGGACAAACTGGCTTTATATACACCCCCCTTTACCCCTGGATAGGATGCAGGCAGCAACATCTCCAACTGATACTTGGCGCTTCTTCCTTGACTCCAATGCCACCCCCTTGATTTCCTCCACCCTCCCTGGCTACTGTCATAGGTGTCCGGATCAAACCTGACTAATTCATGCAACGGGGCTGAGATTGGTGTGGCTATGGGGGCTGGCCTATTCTCCACCAATACGACACTGTTTCTTGACATCTTTCACGGGATGAAGACCTAAGACCGGGACGGAGGATTTACCCAAATATGGATTGATGTCTCCTTTCTTGCGGAAGAGACGGTCCTAGGAGCCGCATAGCCGATAATCATGCCTCGGAGTCCCTGCCAGGCAACCATACGAAGCAGTCCCTATTTTATGCACGATCGCAGGTTGTTCAGCTTGGTCACGCGCATGAAAATCCAAAACAACAAGTAGTCAGATAGGGGCACTCTTTAATCAGAAATAATTGGAGCTCTGATACATGCTCTCTTAACCGCTGTCGCATTTTGTAGACCAAAAAGTACAGCTTGCTGCACACCTGAGTCGCTAGCAGAACAATTTTGGGAGCATCAATAGATACCCGACCTGAAACCCCTCATGGTAAAGCCACTTCGACAAGAGGTTAGTAACTACCCGCAGCGTCCAGTAGGTTCACTGCTAAGGTATACTGAGAGAAAGATGGAAAGTATTGCGATGGGAAAGTTCCACAAGAGGAGCGAAATAGGAGATTGAGATCAACCGGGTGTCTTTTGAAGTCAGTATTTGGAAGCCAATAGGCTTTGACGAGTTACCTTACACGTTCTTATCATTTACAACTGACTGAGTTTACAAAACAGTGTCGCACCCCACTAACTTCGCGCACCTCTATGCACACATACAGCTCTGCCACAAATTAATAAAATCCATATTAGTTGTATACATATTAAGGTAGTAGATCCTTTCCAACTCCTTTTGTTAGTATTTCTTGCTTCTGTATCCGCTTTCTTTTACGCTGCCTACGCTTCGTTGCTGCCTCGTTAGCCCTCTCAAGACTGGCGATCCGATCGTGTATCAGCTCAGCTAAGTATCATTACCTCTGCCCCTTCGTAAGCTGGTGAATCGCCATAACAATCGAAGCTGGTGATGAGCCTTGATCCTGCTGAACGCGATCACGTATTAAGAACAGTCACAATAGCACAATAAGCAAAATTCATCTTGCAAACCAGCTAAGGAGCACATATTTAGTCATAACTACCTCATATAGTCTCATGCACATGCAGCTTTCGCTGTGCGCACATGACCCCAGTTGTCGCCACACACGGTACTTGGAGCCGCCTCGCAAACGCCTCTCCAAAAGAGGTTAAACAGTATGTGTAGTTATATACCATGCATTAATTGTTCTGAGCGTGTCGGAAACAAAATTAGTCCATGGCATCACTGACAGGAACGAGTATCATTTCAACAAGATCACCACAAAGCGATAGGGGGTTCAGCGTCGGATCAAAGGTCACCTGCTTACAAGATTGATTTAGCGCGGGTAGTATTAGTACTTAGCAAAACAGGTTGTAAGCCTTTTCATCATTCCAATTAATGGCTCCTGTGACGACAGCGATACAGCCATTAGCGATTGCGGCTTCATCCTTCCACACGGCGGCGCAGCGGTTTTGGACAGCCCCACCTTCCGTTCATAGCTTAGCATAAGAAGTCAGCCACAGACCAATCGATGTGATTGGTTAGTTCTCAATCTTATGATGACTGGGCTTTTGAGATGTCGCCTGCGGAGGTGAAGGCGCAATCGCTAATAACTGTACCAAATGACAATATGTATACAGAACCGGCAGGGTCTATCAATAGCACCAGATTATTCCGTCATGCTCCCAGAGTGGTGATAACGAACTCTATGTTACTAGTTGGCACGTGTTTAACCATGTTTGGTCATGCTGTGGTCGACTATCCGCTTACTGGACATCAGCGACAAAAATCTGATTTGAGGTTGGTAAGTCCTGTTAATATTAAATTGTTCAGAAGGACATTCACGAGTCCCTATGCATATGGAAACCGATTACAACACGGGAGAGTGTTTCATGGTCGGGGTTGAGGGCTTTTTTTACGCTTGTCGCGAAGTGTTGTTTGCTTGGACTGGACGGATTAAATTAGGTCTGAAATATCATAAGACGGAGTATTGGCAGTGAATCTATCTCCAACATTGCTTGCAACTAGCTATGAATTCACGGTTAGGCGAAAAACGGATTGGGAAACATGAGTTCATAGTGTGAAGGAGAGACAACAGCTCAGATGTCTAAATATGGGTAAGAATCTTGAGTAGTTAACAATACAAAACTGGGTAGAAGATAAAAATGTTAACATGCTGACGACTTTAACGTTTGGTTTTGTCCTCCTTGTGTGTGTAAGCGCTATTGCTGGTGGGTGTCAACGTTGACAACAGGCATAGTTATACCCTTCTTGGAAGGTCGAGATAATTGATCATCCAGTTGATCAGCAATTCGCTTCGCGTGTGCTATAACATGGCTTTGTCTGATCTTCTGAAAGAATACGATGCTGCTCGCATTTCCGTATCCCTTTCGCATTGCATCTCAAATCTCGCCGAATCACTACAAGAGACGTATACAGTGGGTTAAGCAGTTTTTCCAAGATGCGAATCCTCTTGCACCATTGTCGATGTCAGAATGGAGACATGTCTTCGCAAACTCTTGTAGGACACAGCGACTGCATCAACTCTGTGGTCTTTTCACATGACTTAAACTTGCTAGCGTCTGCATCGTGTGATGAAACTGTTAAGTTATGGAAAGCATCTAGCGGCGAGTGTCGACACACCTTTTTCGGTCACCAAGACTGTGTCAATGATGTTCTCTTTTTACCTGGCTCGAAAAAGCTGGTGTCTGCATCATGCGACAACACAATAAAGATCTGGGATATGCAGAGTTTAGAGTGCGTGCAAACTTTGGATAGCCACAAGGACTGCGTTACCTCTGTGGCGTTTTCACCTAACTTGGATCAACTGGCATCAGCATCTTGCGACAGAACAGTCAGACTTTGGGACATGAAGAGCGGCCAGTGCGTACGCATCTTGCATGGCCACAACGACGATGTCACCTCTGTCTCTTTCTTAACGGGCTTAAATCAACTAGTGTCTACATCCTGCGATGGTATGATGAAGATTTGGGATTTGGGATTTGGAGAGCACAGAATGCATACAATCCTTGAAGGGCAAACAGGATTAGCTAATTCCGCGGCATAGGCAGCCAGCTTAACACTCTCAGAATTATGTATTGTGGCAGCATCAAGATACTTACAAAACCCAATAATGGAATGTAGAAAGAGTTAATTACAGAGCTTCCTTACTCCAACGTAATTCCCGTCAATTTAATATGTTATTTAACTAACTAAATCATGAGAGAAGCCAAATTACTCTAAGTATAATTCGAGCGATAAAGTACAAATGTGGTCTGATCAAAGATCCGAAGCTATCCATGTCGGTCAACTAACGCTACATATTTCAGGAAAATGGACTACTAATTAGTTAACAATCTTCATGCATACAACTTCCGCTGTAAGTAGCACGAAGGTCTGGGTGCACTTTTGTATTCTAATTAGTGATAACTTTCAGCCTTACCTTTTCCCATCGATGATAGATCACATTGCAATCATAGCTCCTTATGGTATTTTTTCAAATAAAGAGTACTTAATTACTAATCTTCAAAGATATTGGAACCAGAGAAAGCAAATAACTAGGATACTTTAAAAGTAACGGGCAACAAAAACAGGAAATACGGATTTATTCTCCTACGGATAGGAAATACTGCAAGCGTTGTGAGGGGTATAGATTGAATGATCATCATTAAGCCGTGATTACACCAAATGCAAAATCGCGACCTGAAAGACGCAGGACATTTTAGTTAATACTGCAACCGCTCATAGACAATGGAACTTAGCTATTCACATGCGGGGTAATATGCTTTCTAAGCCTTAGTTCTACGCTAGACCGGGAAGCATCATAGTACAAGCTTCTGGTTTTCAGGTTCTCTCATTGCTAGAAACACATCATATTCCGTCGTGAAGTGCTAGGTCTATGATTGCATCGCTATAAAGTACTTGGGTTAATTACCAAAAATAACACTATAGGTATTCAGTACCTTCTTTTAAGAGTACAGAAAATGGCCAAATCCATGTTTTGTCCCATTAAAGGTGATTGTAGTAAGCAGATAGATAGATATTGCGCCGAAATAATTCAAGACCCAGCTCAATGAAATCGTCATTCGCGTCTGCGTGAAAATGATGATATGATAGCACATGTTTCATAATCTCATTCCTTGGGACAGGTGGCGTAATGATTCCTTCAAGCTTCTACAAGCTTTCTAGCCTACGAGGCCTCTCCCTTTTCCGACCAAGCTTACTCCCAGCTTATTCTACAGCCAACGCACCCCTACAACTGTTCATGTTATGCAAAGATCACTGCATTCTTGACGGTGGTTGTATCTCAGATGATACACATGATGGCTACAACGGAAAAACAGGCTGATTCAGAGTTGTGGTGACGCAGAAAACATTGCTAAATGCAGATTTTAGGTAATCCTATCAGTCGCCGATCAGCAAGCCGTTGTCTAGTCAGTGGACAAAGTACTGAAATCATTTTGATAACAGGTGGTGTAATCGAGTTGATACAAGTGATCCTTGTACGATTTGTCAATATCGCAAAGAATAGTGTTTGACATTGTGTACCAGCCGTTCATAAGAGGTCTGACTACTGTCCGGGGAAAGGCAAAGCAATACGCTACTTCCTGAGCTTCAGACGGCTCGTTTTTGAACATGTCAAATCTTTTACATTCCACATCGGCGTCTAAGTTAAGCGTTTCCAGAGACTCTGGGCCGTTTGTAACGGCCTTCGTAAAGCCAGTACTAGAATTCTGGCTAAAGCATCATCCACCAGCCAGCCAGTAAGAGCCCTTTATCTATTTTCGATATGATCTAAGAGGTCATAGAAATATCAAAAATCTTGCAGAGCAACTGTGCGCTGAGTTGGAGGATACATACCCGACAATAAGTAGTACAAGATACTCTCCAGCGGAACACATTCTACAGGAGGATCATCGACGTCCGCACCAGCACGACCAGAGTTCTGACACACTAGGCTTAAGCCGCGCAAATCAATCACCCGAACTATCACCCGCTCTCGCCGGGTTCCAAAATCAGCATACTAGATCCCATTTTGAACGGGCGTCTTCACCAAATATGTCCGACATAACAGGCGAAGAGCACGAACTTCCTGGCTCAGACGAGACATTAATAGACTATGTAACTCCCGTGGATCTGGTCATGCCGAGTGCTGGAGTAGACTGGGATGGCTCCTCTACGACTGCCTGCTCTGCTTACTCGGAAACCGCGGAAGGACCTGCACAAGAGAGTCAACTAGAGGCCCCCCATTGGGTGAAGCAACCAAGTCTACGTTGACAACAATATTTATAGGCAGGTGCAGTGAATAGAAACACGACCTTCACCTTTGACATTCAACAAATACAACTCCTCGTTTATATTACTTGGGTTATCCAATCCCTGATGCTGATAAATGTGGTTGTGGTAGCTTCAAAGTACACTAAAGAGATCTCAAAATACAATGCAGTAGCTCCGTCGGATGCTCTGTGCTTGACTGAAGTACTTGCAAGCATCATATAGATATCCGTAAGATAGATATTGTATAACATTGGCCAGTCTCTATGATCTTCTGAGCATTGGAACACATAGATTTGAGGCTGCATTAGCTAGTATGTATGTAGGTAGATTCAAAGTGATTGTCTGCCTACATATATTATAACGGTGCCACATTTTGCTCATAGCGCAGCTAGTAATTATGAGCTACTATCGTCCCTACTATGTGCTGCTCGAGACGTTACAAGGGGACAGAGATAAGTATGTACTGCAAGGTTAAAGAATTTCTGCTCGTTACATAGCGTGAGTAGCGCCATCATGTACAAAACTCATGAGTGCTGATCAAGGAGCAATGCTTTCTAATTGATCAGATTTCCATTTCACATGCGTACCCGTCTTACGTTACTGTCACGAATAATGAGATCAAAACAAATTAATCCATAAAACAACGGAGTGGCAGTGCATTGCAGGAGAGAGTGGGATAAAAAATACTCAAAAGACAAGTATGATGCAGGACTATAACATCACTCCTCTATGATCTCTTTCTGTGTAGCGTGGCTTAGATATTTAGCCCTAATGTTAGGAAGGAACAAGATGTGGAACGCTTAACACCCGATTTCCTGCATTTACAAAGAAAAATCTGCCGTCCCTTCTAGACCTTGATACGTAGACTACCGATCTATCTCTCGATCTCAGTCCGCTACCTATAATAAGATTACCACGGCACTAGAGAGTAGCTAGCATGAACCTGCTGAGCCCCATTAAGAGAATGTCTGACTATTTTCTGACTATCGAGAGCGACGTATATAACGGCTCCAGGTACCTTGATGGTGAGAACGTTGGGCAAGAGTTGTGTATGGTCGCTAGCGATTGCGGCTTCATCCTTACACGAAGCTGCGCCGCCGTTTCGAACAGCCCCGCTTTCCATAGAGAGCTTGGACTTTTGGAATGCGACTTGCGGAGGTCAAGCCGCAATCGCTGATAACTGTATGATACGGGTGTGTACCGATTCCTGTGTCAAGCCAAGCAGGAGAAGAAGCGTTCTAGATACTGCTGGTTCATCTTCTAGTACATATTTTACAAGTTCTTGATCGTCGTAGAGTTGCTATAAACTAGTTTTCGTCCAGACAGCACTAGAAAGCTGATGGCAAAGCAGGAGACAGGAGTCGGAGATCTGGAATAAACATATCTATTACGGGTGATCCAATCTAGACATACTCTCACAGTTTCTTGCTAGTTAGACTGATAAGAAGGGGTTCAATCATCAGCATGTAATCTGCATAGAAAGCACGCAGTAACTTATGGACAGAATTTTCTCCTAGAAAGTCACGCAGATAGTTTCATGTTATCTTGTAGTAGTTTTAACTCTTTCTAAGTTTCGAGTAGATTTCACCTCTTAACTAGCTCGAGTGGAAGGGTTTTGTGAAAACGAGCGTATATCCTTTTGCGGCAGGGATTGCGTGCGGAAAGACGCCTCTAGAAGGGAGCAGTACGAGCAAAAGTCCTGGGCTAAGACCTTCAATGATTATATTTTAGGCCGCGGATCAGGATCATAGCTAAATTATTTAGTTAGTTACTTTGGGTTGCTTATTCATCTTTAAGTAGTAAGTCCATACAAAAAGTGACCGACAGACTCAGCTCAAAGGGGTGAAGCCATGCAGTTGATGATGTTCTGACAATAGCCAACCGTACCTTGACCATCGCTTTCTGGAATGCCTTGTTTGAGCGATGCAAGAAATAAACAAAAGTTGTCATCGGCATAAAGCTTAGCCCATGGCGTTGGTGGACAATATTTCTTGAGTGAGTCTCAATGAGGAAAACTTTGTCCGGGTTGATGTTTCCTCGTATTCCACAATGCGAGTAGTGTATTTAAAGCTGACTGTAATGGCTGCTGTAGTATTTTCTCACGTAGCAGCAGGGCGGGACCCAAGTCAGATGAAGCTTATTGGTGATACGCCCGCCTAATTTCCCCTAGCGCTCATATAGACATCTGCTGAAGTAACACGATCCTGTTCCCATGTTAATAACAAACCTGCCCTCTCACGAACGAAATCCCGTCCGCACCTGGTTGATACTAATGATGCAATCCAAAAAACCATTCAGAACGGTCGTATTCGTTGACATACCCGATCCCGACAACATTCTCATGATACTCCACGCTCTCGCGCTGTCTAAAGAACGAGTAGCTATTGTGCTCTCGCCTCGGATCCTGGATTTAAGCGCTAAGCGGTATGATCAAAAGTTCTCAGAAATAAGAAAGGTCTTGGGTTTCAAAGTCATGTTTGAACCAATCGCGCAGGGCAAAGAGCCCAACGTCTGCAGAAAGTGGAAAGAATTCTTCCAAGCTGATGGCACTCTTTCGGATCGAGAGGTTCTGAAAGATACGCTCCTATATATGCGTGTTTCGAAAGTGAGAATCAAAGAGTGCATAGAGGAACAATATCCAGAGGGCAAGGATTACGAAATTTTTTGGGATCCAGGCTCTCTATCCAAAATCAAGAAGCCGGATATGCGCCACGCAATTCATACTGCCGACTACGCTTTCAACTTCAATGAAAATGAACAGCAAGAATACCAAAACATCGCCAACCTCCATAAGGCATCCGATCGGCGTAATCGCCTCCGTGATCTGTGTCAGCAATATATATTCCGACAAACAAAAGGGATACACCTCAATTCGTCGAAAATTGGGCCAACTGACATGAAAGATCTCTTCGAAGCCAATCTTGAGGTCGAAGACGCAATACTTCTAATTGGTGGTCCACTCACTGAGGCTCTGCAATATATACATCGCACAAATAGTCAACCAAAAACTGTTTATGCTATGCTGGGTACTCTTACCAACGATCGTAACATACTAGGCAGACCTCAATTCAACATCGGAAAAGACGCAAAGTCTGCGAACGCTTTCTTGAACGAGATTCTCAAGAAAAAAATTGAGATGCTCATTGTACCAACTGAATGTTGCAAAGGAAAGGACGAGCAGAACCCCTGCCCGTACGTACTTCAGCATAATGAATACCAAGACCTGTTAAAGAGAAGTCCCTTGCTATCCAAAATGGTCGCGTCATGGGTCAAGGAAACGGGGCAAGAGACTGGATATCACGCTTTCGACTGGATCGCCGCAGCTGTGATGGGTCGTCGAAAAATATTCCAGTGGGTTCCGGTGAAGCATAAAAAGCATAAAAAGCATCTGCCGGGAGAGATCATTATAGACATCGAATTTTCCAAGGCCGATCAGCCATCGACCATTTGGATGGCCACAGAAAATTACACGTACATGAAAAGAAAGAAAAAGGATCTATTTAGAGAGATGGAAAGAACCCTCCCAAGGGACGCAGTTCCGTCCATTTGAAAGCAAGGAAAGCGTTGAAACGCAAGGTTAGATGCCCTGAAGCTAATATATGAAGGCGTTGAAATTAAATTTTGAAACTTATGGTTTGCTATACCTTGGTGCCAAACAATTCATGTATATACATATATATATATATATATATTCTCTTGAACTACTGTAGTTAGCCAGTGAATCGAGTATCCAATACAAAGTCCATTTGGACCTCTCTTATTATCTTCGGATACAATTGAATGAACATATTAAGTTGGGTTATATCAGTGACGATGTGAATTGCTGTAACGGGCTGAACGCCCTTTGGATGACTCCTCGATGGAATCTCGGTTCAAGCCGTACGTGCACCGTCCGCACTACGTTCAGATAACGGACCCTATAAGCCCTGAAACATACCCAGACGATGGATCCTATAAGCCCTGAATTACACTTAGATAATGGACTCTCTTAGTCCTGAACCCTATATGGACTACCTATAACATACAAAAGTAGCTGTATAGCTTAGGAGCTTAGTTCTTTATCGAAAGCAACCTCTTGTATACCTCGCGATTGCCCCCGGAGCGCAGTCCCTTACAATTGCTTTTGGTAGGGCAGCAGAACAGGTAGAAGATTCTGAATATTAATATCTGAGAATTTAACTAAATGAGTCAAGCGACTCAATAAGAATATAACTAATCTCACTCACAAGCTCGTGCGGAGCTATTTTCATTAGCAGAAGGAATAGCTCTTGCATGTTTGGAAGCATGGATGTGTAAAGAAGAACCAAACAGTCCCTGAATACTACGAAGGCCAGGTAACTCTGCAATACAATTATGCTGACACTGTTGGCTTCTAGCTATGTGAGATGAGCCAGCATTAGTAAGCTGGCTATTGTTCATTGCATGAATCGCATCCTCTTCAACACTAGGCTTTGCCTCTGTGTCTAGAGCGGAATTAAATCAGGCCAATGTACATTGAGTAGTGATTTAGCTTGCGTACTGCTACCTCTGTATCTCTGCTATACCTTCCATTTAATCAACATGATGTCACCACGTATACTACATGTCCGAAAGCCTGTATCAGTGCAAATCAAAGCAGCTCCAAATGATTACTCGCTGGCAGAGGGGTTTATCGGCAAACCTGGATCAATTTATAGACAATCTACTGCATGGCCTTGTTTTATGAACTTAATACGCATCTGGTTCTCGATGTTTGGAAATAATCTTCAGTGGCAGAACGGCACATGATCCCGCCATTCCTTTCTCATTCCCGTGCTGGAGAGTCCCAAGATACGAAGCATGGCAAATCCAAATCCGAAACTCATCCATCCATCAACCTAGAAGCCATGGTCGGCATGAAAGATGTCTCGCAGTTTGCTGACATAGACTGGGAGCGTAGCTTGTAAAGCTGACTGGAAGAATTGGTCCACTATGGCTTGACTATATTGCCATTCGAAGAACTGTATTCTTTACCGACGAAGGTTTTCCTCACAGCACGGTCTATGCAGGAGCTGCCAAAATATCTGACCTAGCCGACTGAGGTTCCACTTGGACTTGAAAGATGGAGATAGCATTCTACAGGAAAGCCGGAACTTATGCTTGGGACACGCAGATGAATTCTCAGCACAATTTCGTCGTATGTTAAAGATTAGCTGTATCAGTCTCCGAAAGCAAGCTCGGAGCAACGAAGAGAAAAGAAGAAAGGAGATGCTGTGGGTATATGTCTCAAGGCAGACTGGGCTGCCCCGCGTTACATGACTTCCTCACAGCATCACTGACCTTATCAAAAGTATTCTGGAGATGCTGCACAAACGCCTGAACCTGAACGGACATGATGGTTTCGAAGAGGATACCTTGCGGACTGGAGGAGGCGCGGTGAACATAGGACAATCATTTAACCTCGATGTGCTGTTGGAGGCATGGAGAAGAGAGGGGTATTACGAACACTTGCTACGAAGATATGTCTGGTACAAAATGATTAAGCAGACCACATCTCGGCAGCGCGAAGTCAATCTCTTCGTCAATCAGCTGCTTGATAAGCCTTGGGAAAAGCGGCGCTGGAACCAAATAGCCAACAGAACCGATGAGCTTGATCTTCGCATCTATTACCTACGATAGGCCAACGGGAAGAGGGCCCGGTGGTGCTGGCGGCGGACTGCCGAAGAGCCCGAGATCAAGAAGAAGTACAAGCAATCGTCCAAGTCCTCACCGCCGCAATTGTTGACGCGATAGAGACTGCGGGAATACGAGTGAAAGAACGGGGTCACAGAGCGCCATGGTGGACACCGGAGTGTCACGAAGCGTACCGCAGACACCCGGTCTACTTACTCGTTTTTGACTTAGCATCAGCCATACGCATCATCTAACCCATATCATTCACTCTCTAACTAGTTAGTCAATTTCAAGTGTGGTTGCTGCTAGCGTAATTGAAGCCGCATTCTTCAGTCATAGTACTGTTCTTGGCACCTGTATGGCGCAAAAAGTAGAGCATTTTATTATGCTATCATCTAAGCCTATGCTATACAATACTGCACTTGGCCATTAGTTCCTGTCAAGCTCATAGATCGAACTGTTTAGATTCCCAACTATTACTGTATGTAACTATGTAACTACTTAGTTAATTGGTAGTGATAGACTTCTGTAAAAAGATGCGATATGCTGTTCAAAGCTACTACTATTCAAGATAAAGCTATCCACTGGGGCGGTGCAGATACCTTAGTAAGAAACCAGCTTATAACAAGGGGTTCTGATTCTCCATAATAATCATCAGCGATAGATTCGCGGTAGTAGGAGATGCATAATTGATGGACGAGGCGCACTCTTCGGTCTCCGATGTTTGAACGTAGGCCTTACGTTTTGTAGTTGAAACACCCACTCTTATGGTTCAATTTTGACTTTGCACTATGCGCGTACACATCATTCATGCTGATTTTTCCTGCCTCAATGGCCAGAGATGTTCGGCAGGCCCAGTCTGGACTTGCCTGGTTCGATTGCGACCTATACCTAGGCTGATTAGGATGCTGAATATTCAGACATAGCCTGCGAAACTTTCTCGGAACTGGCTTAGGTTTGGTCGATACTTTCGTCAACATAACACCCCGTTGCTTTGGAGAGTCTGGTAAGTCTCTCTTGGGAACGGCAGGGGCAGCTCGTGGTCGCTCGTATCCCATATCTACACAGCCCATACTAAGGGCACTGTCAGCTAGTGAAGCATACTCTTCGATCATGCGTTCGATGATTGCAAACTCTTTTTCAAAGGAAGGCATGCTTCTAGGTGTTCGGTAACGTTCTGTGTCTGCCCTGTGACTGAATATACTGCTCTCATTTTTCTCTCATCATCATGTCAGCCACATTGAAGTGATCTCCCTGCCGCAATAGATTTTAGACCTGATGCAGAACCTGGGCTTGTTCCAGACGGTTGAAACAAATCCGATTTCATATTTGGTTCGCGCGTGGACATAAGTATTGTTGATAAAAGAAATTCAAACACTCGTCTAGGTACCGTTCTTAGGGCTCTGGAACTTCGCCCTGTTTATATTATTGTATTTTGTATCTGAGATTCTAATAAATGTAGTTTCCAAAATTATCGGAACATGTAAGACTGCCGTAAGATCTCATGTAGGATCACATGACAAACTTTTCTGCTTTCGCTTATAGGAAATAGTGATGAAAGTTGTCATCGCCAGCTGTAGCCAACTAGACAAAGGCCTGAGGCTTACCGTTGGCGAGCTTCTGATTTGGGAGGTTCAATATGCGTTTAGCCAAAGAAATCCTTCGTCTGTCAACATTGCCAGGATCGCAGCCGACAGCTCCAATTCGGACGACAAAACCAGAAAATATCAGCAGAAATACATAGTTACGATCGTTGGTAATTGCGACTTCGACCTTACAGGTAGCTGCGCAACACACTTAAGCAGCCCCACATTTCGTAAATAGCTTAGCACAAAACGTCAGCTACAGAATAATTGATATTATTGATTAATCTGCGATCCTCTAGACTTTTCGAACACGGTATACAGGGGCGAGGCTGCATTGAATTCAAATCCCTCTTTTTTGTCGTCATTCATCACTGTCTTCAATCTTGCTAGAAGCCGAACGTAAATATTGGTCGCTAAGAGATAAGCAACACAATAGGTTGTTTACTACCCAGAGTGGCTGCAGCTCTCACTCATGCACCTAAAACTCTATTTCCGGTCATCCTGATGAACAGGTCAGCATACATGAAGCATCGCTACTAATTATGTAATCCGCTGACTGCGTGCAAGATGAAGCTATTATAAGCAAGAAGCCCACACACATATCATATAGGCCTCGCTTTTCTGTGCCAGCCCTTGGTTTCCACCGCTTATCCTCCGGCATGCATTATCGAGTGGTTGCTACAATATTGCTGCTGGCAGCCAAGTCGGCCAACGCGCACTCATTTGTTGAACAACTCACAAACATCGCGTCTGATGGCTCTTATGTTTCCTGTTTTGGCTATCCACGAGCGTTTGTAGACAAATCTGCTGACGCCAAATTTGATCAAGAGGCCAACAAATGGCTCCTGCCGCCGGCAGGCGGCCCGCCCTTCATCAACGAAACGCATCTGCTTTGCCATCCGTCTCAACAGGTCCCCAACCAAGCAGGCAGTTTCTCTCGTCTGCAAACCAGGCCAGGAAGTATGATCGCTTTACGTTACGCTGAGAATGGCCATGTAACCATGCCTGGAGGCGGACTCAATCTTGTGGGGAAGCCGAAGAAAGGAGGCACAGTGTTCGTGTTTGGTACAAAGCAGCCACGGCCTGGTGAAACTCTTCAAAATGTAATGCATTGGACACGTGATGGCAAGGGTGGTGACCAATCTGGCCGACTACTGACTGCCCAAAACTTTGATGATGACAGGTGCTACCAGCTTAGTGACGATAGTATAGTATTGGGTAAAGCTCGCCGTTTGCAGACACCCAACCCAATCCCTGGACAGCCAGGCTCAGATCACGAACTTTTCTGCGAGACGAATGTAAGACTGCCAGGCGATATCACTGTCGGCCAGCCTTACACCCTGTATTGGGTGTGGCAATGGCCAACAGCACCTCAGCAGGAACGTGAGCCACTACATGGGAAGGACGAGTACTACACATCGTGTATTGACGTGGATGTTGTCGTTGACTTACCTCTGGACCAATGTGGGGCTGGTCTCAAGGACCAGGACCCTATGACCGCTGCTGTTCCAAATTTTAAATCTCGCACTGCGTTGACAATTGATCCGCTAGCATTGTCTTCACAAGCAGACTTTGGGCCACCCACAATGACTAGAGACGAATCTTTTAATATCCAGCAGACTGCCACAGCCGTGCACCATAGGCGATTGCCTAATTAGTCTGCATACATGTTGCGAGTAATTGACAAAACGATCCCACCCCTGATGCTGGTAAAGAGTGGTCCAAAGCTTACTCGGGACTGCAATCACCGTAGGGCTCAGGGTTACCTATAAAATTTCGTAGACTGAAACTCTAAATCGCTCTCTATCTTCTATGATTACTGGTGATTGTTTTGTTTTTTCACTGTTTGCGCATTGCGCTGTTGTGTATAGCAAGTACTGTGCATGTTTTTAACGGGCTGAATGTCATTTGATTAGCTCCTCGATTGAATCTTGGTCTAACTACCCACAAAATATGGGTGTTGCCTCGAGTACCTGGATGCTATCGGCCCGATCGTTACTTGGGCAACTAACTAGCATTGTAACTTAGAGGAATTTGGTCTTTACCATCATGTTGCCGTCAATCCTCTTCATGACCTTTATAGCGCTTCCCGGCCTGTTACTCGAGCATAACGACTTGTCCAGCTTAATGTGCCTAGTTCAGTGTTTAGCTTTTATAGCATTCATTCTAAGTAGCATTAACCACCATCTATTTTTGGTTATCTTGTGCTATCTCCGGTAGTCCAAGTCATTTCAATTAGTAGTAGTAGTAGTAGTAGTAGTAGTAGTATTGGTTTTACGTCCTAACGAAGCCTCCCAGGGGGCATAGGGA